AAAAAAAAAAAAAAAAAAAAATGAAGCTGAAGAAAAGTGGAGCAGTACACATGGCAGTAGTGCGCACCAGCTGTAAAGAGCCTGGCTGGCTGGAGCCATGCTCTGCCTGCTGACAAGGCTTCCTGCCACAGCTACAGCCCTGGGAGGCCCCTAAGACCCCAAGTAATGCCAGCAGAGTTGTTGGCCCCAGTCTCCCCTACCCCACCTGCTGAGTGCTACAACACATGTGGAACTGACATTGCCTGGGAACAAGTAGCAGTGACACAAGTTGTGCTGCTGCTACTTTCCCCAGGGAAACAAACATTAGTGCTGGACGCAACCCCAGGTTTATCTTGTGAATCATGTTTGCTAACAGTACTAACATTATGTGGTACCCTGCAGCACCCTTAAAAGGTTCTCAAGGCACCCCAGGGTGCTGTGACACCCTGGTTGAGAATCACTGTCCTAGACCTTACAATAAGAGGGCTTCATGGTATTTAAACTACCAAAAAGCTAACTGCAAAAGAAAGAGCATTCGTGTCGAACAGTTCACAAGCAGATCTGTTGACTAAGGCTTTTTTGCAACAACTTCAAAGAGTGAATAATTTAATAAAAATCAGAGTCTAATGGTGGAGAATTCACAAAGAAGAAAAAGATAGCATTCTGCTAAATGAATGGGTTTTTTTACAAATTATTTAACCAGCTATTTTAAATAAAATTGTAAAAACTACACCATCTAGAATAATGCTGCTGCTTTGTTTCTTCCTAAAACAGACACACAGAACGAGTGTTGGAACACTGGCTGGCTTAAGATACTTTAAAATCCAGGGTCCACAATAATTTACACATGGAAAGGAAAGCAGGTCTGGAAAAACCTTTTTTATTATAGAATTTGAAAAATCATAGAAAACTAGGGCTGGGAGGGAACTCAAGAAGTCATCTATTCTAGTCCAGTCTCTGCTCAAGACAGGATCATCCTTGTCCAGGGACAGATCCAGAGGGGCTGCAGTGGTATAGTGACACCCCCTTTCAGACCATGCTGCTATCTATCCTACTTTGTAGTGTGGAAGAAATATGTTTTCCTTCTTGTGGCAAACTTTCTTATTAGAAGAAGAAAACAATTATTAAAAAATAATGATTTACTAAAAACATTAATATGACAATTCATAACATTACAATTGTTTGTCACCTCACAAAGTCAATGCAAATAGAAGCTTTAAAAGTTATATTTCATATTCAAGGCTAACTATCTGGTAAATATCTTGGAGTTTAAATAATAGGTTTTTTAATTTTAATTTTATCCCTTATTTCAAAATGTACTTAAAAATAAAACTTGTTGCACTTGAGAAATTAATGGCCATAACAGAGAGATTTCACAGTTTTCTGACGAAGATGTTACGTGTATGTAATGCTTAATATCAGTATTGATTTTGAGTTTCATGTACTTATTGTAATAGATTTGTTTGCATGTAGAGAGAAAATATAAATGTTCTGACTGTATTCCCATACTTCTCTCTCCTGGTTTAATTGCAGAGGGGAAGAAAAGAGCATAAAACTCTGCTCAGTCAGAACAGCATTCTTTAAATATTCAGAATAGCATGTGCATGTCTGATAAACCAGTATATGTTATAGGGGCATCAGAATTGTTTCTGAACAGTGAAAACAGAACACTGTGGGTGATGGAAAGAAGAAATCTTTACTGTTGGGATTGTGTAAACCTCAGGGATTTGATAGGTTAGTTACTGATGCTTACAGTGCATTAGCCTAATAACACTGTGCAGTAAGTTATTAGCACAGTTTTTGCAGTGACACGCTACTGCGTAGTGTTATTAGGTTAATGCACAGTAAGCATCTCATGTATATGTGCCCAATGAGTAGAAATGATGTCTAAAATTTGCTTTGTCCAAAAATTATCAGACAGAAAGTATCACAATACATGAGCTAACAAGAGTGTATTTTAACACTTGATAAGAAGAAAATACTTGAGTGAGCTGAAAAAAAACATTTTTTTTTAGCTGAATCTATCTTTCATATAATTCAACTCACAGATACTGCTTCTTGAGTAAAATCAGAACCACTGAAAAATGTTAAGGCTCTTTCATTAACCAACTCACCAAATTAACCCCTTTCACCTTTCCTAGACAAATGCTTGAAGCAGTATCCTTGCATATAATTATAATTTCTCTGCATTTATATAACTTGCTCCAGACCCTTCCAGTTCTTTTAGGCCACATCTGATGAAGGAAAACATTAAAGTGATTTATACTGAAGAGAGCTCCTAGAATTTCATATCTGTGGGTGCAGAACATAGAAGAAAGAACATTTGATTCAGACAGGGGGCAGGGTGAGAGACCAGTTCAGGCATCTTGTTAGGTCTCAAGAGGCATGAGATGGAGGCTTATTTTTGTCTCATGTTGAAGACAACCCCAACTGAGTAAGAAGGATGAAAATGGTAACTTGGTCATCTGTGCTGGAGAGTCAAAGGAAGCTGACCATAGTGGTGACCACAACACTCCTTTGTGGAGTTATTGGTATGCTTTAAACAAGCTATCCTGAAGACTTCTGCCTTCTTTCAAACATTATTTGAATTAGAGGTTGGTGATGTATGCAGATTTTTACTTTAATGTAAATAATATTTATTTACATTTCAATACCACGAAAACCCACCCAAACAATGAATGCAGATTTTTACTTTAATGTAAATAATATTTATTTACATTTCAATGCTCTTGTGTGAATTTCCTTCACTCAGATTTATGCCCCACTTGGCTTACTGTCCATAAAGGCTTCAGAGGGTTTATTTCAACATCATGAATGCTCACAGAAAACAAACTGAAATGTGCATGCTTGCGTGTTCATGGTGGAATCAGTGGTATGGACCATTGGCACTAGCTCCCTGTTCCTTTTGGCCACCCTGGCAGCACAGAGAGGATATGGAGAGTTCCCCTCACATGGCCTCTGGGGATAATAGATGACATGGCATTGGCAGGTTCTGGCCACACTTGTGAAATAGGCATGACAAAGCCCCAACAGATAGGACTGTCTGCAATCCTGCAACCCTGAAGTTTTTTATCTCATGCCAAGAGCCAAAATGTTTCACAACTGCCCTCCGTCTGCTATGTTCCCTCTTCCAAAGGAGTTCTAGCATACCAGAGGGTTTAGTATGGTATATTTTATATGGCATGGGTCAGTGCTTGATGCAGCAGGAAGGAGAGGCTTTTTATAACCTCTCATCAGGGTTTTGGCAGAAAGACAATCAAGTATACTGATAAGAACTGGTATGCAAGTCTGGAAATCAAATTACACGCACATACATCCTCACCCATACATACATACTTAGTGATAATGGGAGAAGGATTAAAAGTAATGTAAATTCTTCATCCTGCCAAAATATTTCACCATGGGCCCATCTACACGTGTAATTAATGTGACTGAATATACTCTGGCTCAATTTGAATCAAAGTAAACTAAACCAAACATCACCATTTAGATGTGTGTTTAAGTGTAGTAATTTGCTGTGGCATAGGATAGTACCTGTGTTTGACAGAACTATCCTATGCTAGAGTTAATTACTCTACTACAATCTAATTGCAGTACACGTGTAGATGGTGATGCTTTATTACACATTAAATTAGTCTAATGTGTAGTCAGGTGCATGTGTAGATGTGCCCAGCAGCCTCCTGCTTCTCAGAATGATGCCTTTGTATCTCAGAAATGGAAGAGAATACAATTTTCTAAAATTCTCTAGTCTCCTGTTCTCTGCAAGCTAATCTTTGACTCTCCTGCTGTCTCTTATCTCACCCTGAGAAGTGCAAAGTGCCAGTAGCTGTTTCAAACCCTTCTCCTGATTATCAAAATTTAATGAATTGAATCAGAAAACAAAAATTACACTACGTGACAGGTATTAGCAATTACAAGTAACCAATGCAACACTTAGGCCATGCATAGACATTCAAGGAGCCTGAGGAGGAAGTGATCTAAGTTTTGTAGTTTTTTTCTAAACTGTTTAGTTTAGATAGGGAGTGAACAGTATACACATTCACCCTTTGGTGGGGGGGAGGCGGGGCAGGCATGCAGACAGCCTGCACTGGCTGAGGCCTGCAGGTGAAGGGCACTCCTGCATGCCTCCCAGCATGCCCCATGGATTCCCCCAGTTGCTGGGAACTGCCAAGCACAGCCAAGTACCCAAGGAACATGCAATTGGCTGTTGGGCCTGGGCAAGCATGCCCCAAAACCCATCACATCACCATGGATTCTCTCCTGCCCTGCCCTGAGTCTTCCAGAAGAGCCCAAGAGTGAGTGCCCTCCATTGTGAATTGCATGTGCCTCCGTGTCCTGGCCTTCCCACATCCTGCCATGGGACTCCACTGCCTGTGCCCAAGCATGAAGACCCAGGAACTGTGTCCTGGCCTGGGTTACCCTGAGTGACTCTCTCCAGAACCTGCAGGACATCATGCATGCCTATCTGGCATAAAGCGGCAGCTGGTCACCATAGGATGCAGCTTCATGCCCCTGAATCAGCAACCAGATGTCCTGTACTGCACCACCAACTTCCATGGGACCAATGTAAATGAGGCCACCCAGGACACTGTGGATGATGGGATGCTCTGGCACCACCTCCAAACCATTGAATAGCCGTTCTGGGCCCATGCCACGAGCTGCACCTGGTGAGAGTGGATTGTCCTGGACACCTGGGACAATGAACAGTAGGTCTAGACCTTCCGCAGATGCTGAGCCACCTTTATGGACATCATCACCCAGTTGGCCCCCCACCTCATGTGCCTGGATGCCAGCATATGGCCACCTCCCACTCATGAAGCTGTCTACCCCCAGCATTCTCCACTACATTGCCAATCAGTTCAGCATGGGCAAGTCCACAGTCAGAGAGGTTATCCAGCAAGTGTGCCTGGTCAACCAGAATGTCTTGGCCAACCATTTTATCTGCCTCATCAATCTGCAGAAAGCAGTCATTGGCTTCTGCTGAATGGGGTTCTCCAACTGAATGAGAACCATGGATGGCACCCACATCCCTATCCTCTGCCCACCCCAGGGCACCTGGGCATTCATCAACCACATGGACTACTTCTCCATTGTCTTCCAGGGTGTTGCTGACCACCAGGGCCACTTCAATCACATTTCTGCTGGCTGGATGGGCAGTGCCCATGATGCTTGCATCTTCTCCAGCTCCCCATTCCCCAAGATGATGGGGAGTGGCGCTGCACTCCAGGGGTCCCCAATTTCATCATCAGCACTGTTGTCATCCCTCACCTCAATATCAGGGACCTGGATTACCCTCTCTTGCACTCGCTTATGAAGCCCTACATGGGGCAACTGGACCACCAAAAGGAACACTTCAATTACTGCCTGAGCAGATGCTGCATGATGGTGGAGTGCACCTTCAGCTGCCTCAAAGCACATGGGCAGGCTCTCAGCACATGCCTTGAGGTTGAGGAGAACCTACCATACATTGTCATTGCCACATGTGTCCCCCCACAACATCTATGAGAGCAGGGGGGAGGTCTTTCATGAAGCCTGGACAGAGGAGGGATGGCACATGGATGAGGCATGGCAATTCATGCATGCATGGCATAGGAATGCTGGACAGTGAGCAATGATTTTGGGGACACAGCGATGGGGAGTCTGTAACTGGGTAAGGGAGAAAGGGAAGGGTACAGGTTGTTCCCTTCCAGGGCAAAGGGTGGACTGGTCCATCCTCTAACTGGCCCCAGTGGACAGTGGGGGATTGGCCCCACTGACAGTACAGGGAAAAGCCCTATGTGGGACACTGGGGAAGCCCAGGAGTTCCAGATCCACTAAGGGCTCTCCCCAGCTAGCAGGTTCCCCTTCACGTGCAGGAGCTAGGAATACAGCCTCTCTGGAAGTACCCAGGCCTGGCCAGCTGGAGCACCATGGAGGAAGCTACAGGAGTGGGACAAGAGGAAGAATGAGAAGCCCTGGACAAGAAACTGAGGAGCGAGCACCAAGGATTGGTGAGGGGCAGTGAATCTGCCTGCACTTTTGTTTATTTATTTCAAATGGACTCTTAGAGATCCTGAGTGGGAAGACCAGTATTGATTAGGTAAGTTTCATAGTTTCATACTTTCATAGTTTCTAGGGTCGGAAGGGACCTGAGAATATCATCTAGTCCGACCCCCTGCCATGGCAGGAAAGAGTACTGGGGTTAAACGACCCCAGCAAGGTGTTCATG